AATTTTTAGTGAATTTTTAGTGAATTTCTATGGCATTTCTATGGCATTTCTATGGCATTTCTATGGCATTTCTATGGCATTTCTATGGCATTTCTATGGAGCCAGCAGCCTCCGTGGGTGTCAGGGCACATTGGGAACAGAGTGAGCAACAATTCTGGGTTTTTTCCCCCCCTCCTGACCCAGTGGAAGCACAGCAGGATGCTCCAGCCTTATAGGATAACCTAAACCACATCTCCCAGCACTTCAGGGGTATCAGAAAGAATCACAAAACCACTTCTAAATTGAATTTTGTGCTCAGGAAAACAGCACAGCAAAGGATTTTGGTCCCTCTCAGCATCTTCCAGCAGCACTCAGGGAGAAATGGGATCAGGATATGTTGGAAGATGAGGTGTGGGACACAGGAGACAAGAAGGACAAGGAGCATCTTTTTCCTAAACCAAAAATCTGGAAAAAGCAACCAAAATGGGCAAACTTGCTGGAAATAACCAGAATAAACCCCTTTTTTCCATCCTTTGCTGAGTGGATGGGCCAGCCCTGAGCTTAATTAATCACATTAACACGAGCACCTGCAGAATTAGCATCACTTCCAGGCCGCTAAACCGCGGCTGAGCTCAGCCTGGCGCTTCCCATCACCACTTCAAAGGCAGCAAATCCCCACCCCAGGTAAAACCCGCCTGGGATGCTCCCAAAAACACGGAAATCCATTTTCATGCACCGCAGGTTTCGCAGTTGTCTGCAAAGTTAATGGGAGCAGGCAGAAGTCATTTCGTTTTTAAATATTTCATTGGGTGGTTTTTTAAAAAAAAAATTCCCAACCCTGAATTATTTCCAGCCTTGCTCTGCACTCCACTCTTCTGACACGGGGAGAGAAATGTAAAACCAATTATTTCCTGCAGATGCTTCAACCAACCAGCTCTGTGCATTTAGTTCATATCTGATTCTCCTCAAAAAAAAATAAAAAATAAAAAAATACAGCCAGCAGGCAAATTTCAAATTAATACCTGCTTGACTTCATGAGGAGTGTTCCTGAAGCTTGTTTCCCAAAGTTTCCTCAGGAGCAATAATTCCTGAGTTTACATAACCCACACTGCACCACACGGGTGCTGCTTGCAGGGGAAGAAAATGAGGAAAAAAAGCCCAAATTGACTGAATTTCATCCCCAAGGGGCTGCAGTGCCCTCAAGGGATGACTTTGAGGGCAGGGAGAAATTCACCACTCCAATTCCCCATTCTCAGTGATTTTCTCAATTCTAATCCACATTTATCCAGCGGGTCTTGCTCCCAATTAGCTGTTTAGATGGATTTTGGTGTTATTGTTATAATGTTATTTTACTGTAGGCCAGAAATGATAACACAGAACCTGGTGATCCCAAACAAGCTCATCCAAGCACAACATCCAGCTCCTATCCCTTTCCCTTTTTTTTAATTTTATTTTAAATAAAACACTAGTACAAGGTGTATTTCCTCGCTCAGAAATGGCAATTTTTGGGGTTTTTTTGCATTAAAATGCCGGGATTCATCCCTTTGGTTCAGGGAGAGGGTTTATTCCCATTAAATGAGCACATCCAGAGGGATTAGGAACTCCTGCCCAGCTTTGATGGAGCTTTGTGGTCTCTGCTCCTCGGTCATTAGGGGAGAAAGGCAACCCCCAGCGGCATCTCCATTACAATCACAGCTAATTACTGAGCTAATTAGCCGGCTCCTCCCTCCCCATCCCACCTGCCGTGGGATAGGAACCTCTCCATGGGGATGGAAACCTCTGCGGGGGAAACAAACCCCAAACAGGGATCCAAACTTCTCCATGGGATCCAAAGCTTCTCCACAGGGATAAAACCCCCCAAAACAAGCATCAAAACTTCTCCAAAGGGATCAAAACTCCCAAAACAGGGATCTGAACGTCTCCATAGGATCCAAACCCCCAAACAGGGATCCAAACTTCTCCATGGGATCCAAAACTTCTCCATGGGATCCAAACCCCTCCATAGGGATAAACCCCCCCAAAACAAGCATCAAAACTTCTCCAAAGGGATCAAAATTCCCAAAGCAGGGATCCGAACGTCTCCATAGGATCCAAAACCCCAAACAGGGATCCAAACTTCTCCACAGGGATAAAAACCCCCAAAACAAGGATCAAAACTTCTCCAAAGGGATCAAAACTCCCAAAACAGGGATCTGAACGTCTCCATGGGATACAAACTCCCAAACAAGGATCCAAACCCCCAAACAGGGATCCAAACTTCTCCATGGGGGTAAAACCCCATAAAATGGGGGGCAAACTTCTCCATGAGGCACAATCCCTCCATGGGGATAAAAACCCCCCCAAAGCAGGGATCCAAACTTCTCCATGGGATCCAAACTTCTCCATGGGATAAAAACCCCTCCATAGGGATAAAACCCCCCAAAACAAGGATCAAAACTTCTCCAAAGGGATCAAAACTCCCAAAACAGGGATCCGAATGTCTCCATAAGATCCAAACCCCCAAACAGGGATCCAAACCCCTCCATGGGATCCAAACCCCCCAAAACAAGGATCAAAACTTCTCCAAAGGGATCCAAACCCCCAAACAGGGATCCAAACTTCTCCACAGGGATAAAACCCTCCCAAATAGGGATCCTAACCCTCCAAACAGGGATCCAAACCCCCAAAACTGGGATACAAACACACTCCATGGGGATAAAACCCTCCATGGGGATCCAAACCCCCAAAACAAGGATCTAAACCTCTCCATGGGATACAAATTCCCAAAACAGAGATCCAAACTTCTCCATGGGAATCCAAACCCTCAAAACTGGGATCCAAACCTCTCCATGGGGATAAAAGAACCCCAAAACAGGGATCCAAANCTCCTCCCAAGAGCTACCACAGAGCTGTGTCAATTCACACTGCTCCAGATTGCAGAATATTTCACCAGTGACTCATGACATCCCCTTATTTATTTATTTTTTTTTTCTTTTAAATAAAGCCCAAATAGTCCCAAGTGGGAACAAAGGGAACCATTATGCAGAGTCAGATTGGAAGGATCCTACATCTAATCCCAAAAGGGAAAGAAAGAAACCCAGAACTGACACTGGAGCAGCTCAGAGACTCCATGAAATTAAAAACAAAAATAAAAAATCAAATAATCCCTGTTCCTTTGAGCAGAGATCCTTTTTTTTATAGATTTTTTTTTTATTATTTTAAAAAATCAATTATTTGGGTTTGTGACAAAGCCATGGTGTTGGCAGCCAACAGTGAGCAAAGGGCAAGGTTTTCCTTCATGGAATATCATGAAAATATCCAAAATTTACAGATAAAACGCCCAAAAATGAAGAAAATGTTGAGAATTTGAGGGGAAATCCCAGCCCTGTTCAAGGACAGCAGAAATCCTGCTTGTTTTAAGAGATTTGGGATTTTCAGCATCACCCACCCTGTTGATTTCACCATTTCCAAGGGGCTGTTTCCCCTCATTGCACAAATCCTGGGAAAAAACCATGAAAACCCCTCAGGGAACAGGGACAGGGGTTGGGGTGTCCCTAAAAGGTTTGGGGGTGCAAGGCACAAAACCTCCCTTTCCCTGCTCCTGGTTATTCTGTGTATTTCCACCAAATTTGTCCATTTTGGCTGATTTTTAAGATTTTTTGGTTTAGAAAAAAGATGCTGTTTGTCCTTCTTGTCTCCTGTGTCCCACAGCTCATCTTCCAGCACATCCTGATCCCATTTCTCCAACATCTTCCCCTGAGTGCTGCTGGAAGATGCTGAGAGGGAACAGAATCCTTTGCTGTGCTGTTTTCTTGGGCACAAAATTCAATTTAAATCTGGTTTTGTGATTCTTTTTGATACCCCTGAAGTGCTGAGAGATATATATATATATATATATTTTTTTATCCTACAAGGCAGAGCTCTCCAAGCTCCCCCCCTGCACACGGAGCAGGAATTTCTGGGTCACTGTGACATTTTGGGAAGTGCTCCAGCCCCAGTTTCCTTCCTGGCAGGAGCTTTGCCCTTTGAACCACTGAGGGTGGAATTTTTGGGAGCTGTGAGAGCACCAAACTCCCTCCCTCAGCAGATCCACGGTTGGCTTTAGGAGCAGCTCCTTAAAACCAGCCAAAAGGGGGGAAATTTTTGTNTTTCCTTTCCTTTCCTTTCCTTTCCTTTCCTTTCCTTTCCTTTCCTTTCCTTTCCTTGAAATTTCCTTGAAATTTCCTTGAAATTTCCTTGAAATTTCCTTTCCTTGAAATTTCCTTGAAATTTCCTTGAAATTTCCTTGAAATTTCCTTGAAATTTCCTTGAAATTTCCTTGAAATTTCCTTTCCTTTCCCTTCCCTTCCACTTTTCTCATCCAAGCCCTGCCATGCCCAACCCCAGCATTCCTCCTGTCACAGAGATCATTTATAAAAAATCCTTTTGCCACGATTTTTCCTCCTGAGAAGCTGAGAGGCCTCAGAACAAAATGTAAACGTTGATTATCTGCTGCTGTGGAATGCAACAGGTGCATCTGGGATTGGTCTCATGTGGATGTATTTAATTAATGGCCAATCACAGTCAGCTGGCTTGGACTCTCTGTCCAAGACAGAAGCTTTTGTTATCATTCTTTCCTATTCTATTCTTAGCCAGCCTTCTGATGAAACCTTTTCTTCTATTCTTTTGGTATATTTTTAATGTAATATATATCATAAAATAATAAATCAGCCTTCTGAAACATGGAGTCAGATCCTCATCTCTCGTCCCAAGACCCCTGTGAACACCATCACCCAGTGAACACCCATCACCCCTGAGCTCCTCTGCTCTGTCCCCACCCTGTGGGAGTGACAGAATGGGAATTTTCCAATCTGAAGGAGCAGGGATGGCACTGGCCACGTCCTCTGCAGTGACAGCCACCACCTCGTGCAAACACTGGGACAAAAGGATATTAATGGATGGCTGGAAATCTGCAGCCCCTGAAACAGCAGAACCACTGCAAACACACTGGGGAAATGAAGGAATCGGACATTTCCATGGGGCAAATGCAAAGCTGGACTCACCAGGGTACAGCTGCTTTGTTGGGGCACTGAGCTGAGCATCTTTTGTTACTCTGTAAGCAACGTCTGCTTCTTTTGAAGATCTTCTGCTTGTGCAAAACCCCGTGGTTTTTGTGATACCATCAGGTAAATTATGAAAATCTAACACCTTCAAGAGGTCTGCAGGTTCAGCTGCAAAGAGAAAAGGAGAAAGAAGAATTAGGAGACAAACAGGGGTGGCACTGCTGGGCTCCAAATCAGGCAATTGTCACAACCTCAAACTCAGCTGAAATGTGCTTTCAACTCTCCCTCCCCCACTGTTCTTGAAGGCAAATTTTTAGAGGAAAAGATGCCTTAAACCCTTCTGATCCTTCAGGATATGTGCAATAACAAACAAGGATTTCATTTCAGCCCATTACACCTGTCAGTCACAGAGCTCAGCACAACACTGCAGGCCAGGGAAATGCTTTCTCCCCTCAATAATTACCCAAAGTTTCATTTCCCCATCCTAATTTTTGCTTTCCCCTCCTAAATCCATCTTCCCTGGCCGAGGGAAAAACAAGGAAAAGAATTAAATATTATTCTCCCCTCAAAAAAAACCCAAACAAAACAATATCAAACCAAACTGAACAAGCCCAAACAAACCAAAACAACATCAGAAAACCCCAAGAACCCAATGGAAACGTTGCTCTGGAAATTCAGTGCAAGATGGGAGCTGCAGAGCCCACTGCAAACCCCAGCCTCAGCCAGAAGTCATTAATCCAAGCCATATTTATGCCTGTAAGAATAATTTTTAACACCTTGAACACCCCCAAAGCTCTGCCATAAGTCACTGATGTGTTCCCTGTGCATATCCGTGCTCCCAGCGCCTGCAACGTTACAAATTGCAGGCAGCAGACCTCAGAACAAATCTCATTTTTCAAGGTCTTTAATTAAATCCCCATCCCTGAGGAAAGCCACCGAGTTTGTCACTGGGTTGAGGAGGCTCATCAGGAACATTCCCAGTTCTCCCAGTTCAGGGAACTGGGCAGCACTGGACAAAAGGAAAAACCAGGTTTTAAAACAGAGCATGGTCTGGACTCCAGGGAATTCCAAAGCTGAGCTGGTCTAGGGAAGCTTCCAATGAGAAAAGCCTGCAGGTCCCTCCCAACCCAAACCTGACAAAATTCAGGGGAATTCCTTCAATTTTCCTTCAGCTTTTTGCCTTCCACCACTCTTCAAAATGGAATAAAATTCACCTGGAGACACAAATTTACTGTGCACAGCTGCCCTGTTGTTGTTTCAGCACCCTGAGACATTTGGGGTCTGCAGGAGGGGTGGGCAGAATTTTCTTCCATATTCAGATTTGGAGCAGAAAGGACACCCCAAAACCTTGCAGGGGTTTATGATGCAGCTCTCAGCCGTGCTGGGGTTTGTGTGCCATAAAGTGAGGAATGAAAAATCATTCCCAGCTCATTCCAGGTGCAACTTCCTCACCATTTACCAGGCTGGGGATTTGCAGCCCAGGGATGCAGATTTGCTGCAATGGTTTTTTGTGGTGTATGAACAACACAGAAAATTGTCATTTATCTTCCAGCAAATAAAGCCAACAGGGATCATTTTAGGAGTAGTGAAAACAATTTCAGGGCACCTTCCACTGTCCCAGGGTGCTCCAAGCCCTGTCCAGCCTGGCCTTGGACACCTCCAGAGATGGGGAATCCACAATTTCCCTGCACAACCTCAGCCAGGGCATCCCTACCCTCACACAGAAACTGTTCCAGATTTTTAATGGAAAAAGGTGTTTTCCACCCCAAGCCATGAGGGGTCAGAGCATGAGGAGGGACAGGAGGAGCCCTTGGTGAACCCCAAATTTCAATCCCAACCTGCAAAAGCCACCCAAGGTTGGGGTCCCTGCAGGAAGAAGCAGAGAATCCCCATGGCACAGGGACTGCTGCTCCAAATGAACCCTTCCCCTTCCAGCTTTTGCAGCCTAAAAATCATTTTCCAAGGTATTTTTAGCCCTAAATAAACACCCAATTATTGCCTTTGCAGGGCCCAGCCCTTTGCCTGCGCTCTGGGTTTCTCACTCCCCAGAGGTTGCCTTGAACATCAGGGCTTAAATTTGGAATTAAAACCAAGAGGTATTTATATATTCTATCCTAATTTAGATATATTCTATTATTCCTAGAGTTCCTTTGGCAGATCCAGAAGAAATAAAAGCAAGTTTATGTGCTTTTATTATTTTATTTTATTATTTGAGGACTGGAAGTTGCTTCCCCTCAGTGATGCTTTTTTTGTCTCCTTTTCAGCCTCCTGGGATTTCAACAATTTCGACTCCTTATCTAAACACTTTTCACCACAGCTGACCTGAGAATAACTGACTAAACCAGGGTGGCAGAGGCTAAAATAAAACAGGGCCTAAAATAAGGATATCAGGCCCCAGCTGCATCCTCTGGATGGGCTTAACAGAGCCTCTTAAATTCTTCAGCATCCCAGCAGCCCAATAAAACACAATTATTTATTTGGGCAAAGAGAAAAGGCATTTTAAGGAGGAGAATTGAAGAATGGGAGCTGCAGGATTGAGGAT